TTTGAGAGACTTAAATAGTATTTCGGATTGTGAAGATAAATCTATGGGAAATTCTGAATGGAAACTCCCAGTCCTCCCTCTGGGACAATGTAGATACTTTGTGGTTTTGGGTAAGTCACTTATTTCACTGTAAAATGAGGGGAGGAGGGTCCTTCCAGCACCTGAAGCTCCCCAGCGCATATATTTGTGTGTTGACTTAGCCCGTATATTTATTTTCTTGAATCATTTCACATTATTGATTCCCAGTTGTCAGGCATTTTGTTATTGTAAATTACACTTTACTTTGCATTTCTTCAAATGAGAACTAGAGATCCCCTGGAAGGACATTTTTATAGCTTTTATATTTTCAGTTGTCATCTTGGCAGATTAATGTCTGTGCTCTTAGGATTGGCTGTCTAGGTCAGGAAGCTGGTGTGGAGACTGAGCTTCCCTGGCTGGGCACCCTCCTGCTGTTCCACACTAGCTTTGTGGTCAAACCCAAGAAACAGCCAGTGTCCTAGCAGTTCCGATGCTGTTTATTGCAGGTGACCAAGAACCCTTTCACACTGGGTGACAGTTCCAATCCTGGCCAAATGGAGAAACTGCAGGAGTTTAGCCGGAAGTTAGACCAGGTGAGATGACTCTGGCCCTTCAGTACTTGTGGTCCTGGGGTGCCAGTGAGCAAGAGTCCGCCTACCCCTACCCTGTCCTGTCTCCTTCTGAACGTCTAACCAGTGTGTTGGGTGTTCCCCATGTCCTCTTTCTCGGTTTTCTCCCTTATGTTGTTAGAGCCTTATCTCTAGTAGCTTCACTTGGGTTTTTCATTTCCACTGACTTGTTTTCCCAGAGCTTTTTTTTTTGGTCTTTGAATACTCTCCCTCATTCCTTTGCCTCAGCATCCTGTTGTTTTAAGGATGTGGTATTTTTTTCTTTCCTTTTGAGAATGTTAATGTTGGTTTTTCTTTTTTTGATGTTTTATTTTCCTTGCATAGTTTCCATTTCCCTTTTAAGTTGCCTTTTTTTTTTTTTTTTGCTTGTTTGTTTTTATTTTTCCATTTAACTTTCTTTCAGACACAAAGAAGTTGGGGGGCTTTGCTCACGTGTCTGATAGTCATGGATTGTTGTTTAAAAGTAGAGGACTGAAACACAGTGGAGCTGAATCCTATTCATGTTGAGCTCCTTGTAGGGCGATTTAGCCTAGCCATTTTGTGGAGGTAACCCCAGTGCCAGAGTCGTTAGGTTTTTCTTCTTGGGCTGCCCAGATTCCCATCAGCGGGTGTTCTGTTTCCTGGCCTGAGAAGGAGGACTTGGCTGCCAGTGTTCTGAGAGCTGAGTGTGGGCAGAGAGCTGGGTGTGTATATCTGTTTACAGTGACAACACGTTCACTTAACTGCCTGTCCGTGCTGCCTTTCCCTCCACCTTCAGCTGGGCTGGTGTCCCCTAGGCCTTAGCCAGCAGTGGTGGCAGCTTCTCCACGGACTCCTGCAGATTTCTGCTGAGGTTGGGGAAGGGCAGTGGTTGGCCTGTGTGAAATGGGAGAGGAGGTGGGGATGTCAGAGTGCTGCTTCAGTAGGCTTCATACAGTCCTTATTTTAGGTCTTCTCTACTTCACTTCATGAGGAGTTACCTCATGTCAGCAGTTTCTGAAACTTGGGCTTTCTGCCATGTAAACTGGGTTGGTTCTTGTCTGGCAGACACAGCCCCTTCCTACCAGGAGCTATGTAAAATTGATGTGCTATATTCTCCCTCCTTTAGATCCTTCAGGGTGACATGAAGGCCCACTTTATTATGAATGATCCAGCAGGAAACAGCTACTTTCAGGTACAGAATACCCTCCCTGATAGGGCATGGAGATACATTTTCTGACTTTCTTGGAATATGTATTTTTTCTCCAGAAACTGGAGACTTGATTCTGAATGAACTGCTTTTTATCAAGAAACCTTAGAATTTGAAGAATAAGGAAATAGAGGGGGAGGTGGGAGGGATTGTAATTGTGTGTCGAGAAGGGGAAAAGATACTCCTAGACTCTTCCTCCCTCTCGTCCATCTCTTGTCCCCAGCAGTGGAGTTGTCATTTAGAAAACCTAATTGTGGAGTGGGGGGAAATGGTGCCTTGCCCAGAAGCTGAAACAGGAAACTGAAGAGGCTTTCAGATGACTGGGGAGATACTCTGGTGATTTATAATAACTTCGAACATTTATTGAGCAGTTATTATTGGTCAGGCAGAACTGTTTGAGGTTTCTCTACGATTAAGACTATCATAAGAAGGCGCAGATAGAAAGTTTTTTAGGCAGACTGTTCCCTAATTCTGCCTAGGGCTGGACGGTCCCTTTCCGGGGACTCTGTTGGGCTCTCTTGCTGCTTGCTAGTTGAGCCTAACTATGGGGAATTGGAGGCCTTTAGAATAAAAAACATTAAGGTTTTCGGAAAGTGGGTGTTGGAAGCCACCTGGTAGCAGTAGTGGGGGAGCAGGTAGCTAGGTGGCACAGGCACTGACCGACTGTCCTTGGCCTTGCAGAATGTGTATGCACCTGAAGATGATCCTCAAATGAAGGTGGAGCATTATGAGCGCACATTTGCCCAAAACGAGGAGCTAGGGCTCAATGACATGAAGACAGAGGGCTATGAGACAGGCCTGGCCCCACAGCGGTAGCGACGGGTAGTTCCCGAGCCAGCCTCCCGTGCTGCTCAGACCGAAGGGTTATTTATTGCTATAGGGAAAGGCTGTGGGATGTCCGTAGCCCCCATGTGGGGAGGACACCTGGTCTGAGAGATATGGGCAGTTTTGTGAACAGTTTGTGATGGAAGTGCAAGCCTGTTGCTTTACTTGACTGTATCTTGGAGGTTCTGAATTGGCCTGGGAAGAAACCCAGAAATGAACCATGAGGCACGTCATTATCCCTTTTTTTCCTACCAGCTCTTTACCCTTCCTCCACATAATGCTCTGTCTAGGGTTGGAACTCTGAAGACAGAAGACAGCTACATCTGGAGTTTGGGAGCTGGCTGGGGAATATAAAATACTGGCTTTACACAGGAAAAGAGTCTTCTGAGGGGAGGGAGTCCAGCACGGGGGAAAAAAGCTCTCATTAAAGTGACGGCTTTCCAACAGGACTGGGCTCTGCATTCACTTGTCCTTATTTGATACCATGCTGGTAGAATTCAGCCTCCTGAATAAATTTTCCCCGGTGTAGTCCGTTTGGGGATTGGAGCTGGCATTTCATTCATTCCTTCAGTAGATACTTGTGTGCTCACTTTGTGCCAGGTACACTACAGAACTGAACAAAATAAAGCCCTGTGTTCATGGAATTTAAAGTGAACTTCTTAGGACAAATCCATAGTTCCTGCATTTGCTTTATTAGATGCAGCTGACAAACAGAGGGCAAAGCTCAGATAGTGCCCCTGGGCATAAATTCATTTGATCTCGTTCAGCTGCCCTCTGAGGCAAGCAGGGTTGGGATCTGAGTTTGGGTCTTGTCAGGCCAAGGCTGGGTGTTGATTAGAAAGGGCAGTGGTGGAACTCCAGACAGATGGGCAGGAGATAGGCCGATGGGGCTGAGAGAGTTCTAGTAACGTTCACTAGAGCAGAAAGATGAGGTTTTCAAATGCCTGCTGATAGCAGGGTAGTAGAGGCAGGGCTTTGGAGTTGTTGGAGAGTCCCCAAAGTGGCCTAGAAGCCAACACAGGGTTGTGTCTGGGGGGACCTGTGGGGCCCTCCAGCTAGTAAAGCCCTGTTACCAGTTCATTGAGCCACAAGCTCTCAGAGACCCAACCCAGTCTGCTTTCCTTCTTGGGTCTGAGCTGGACCAGTCAGGATAACCCAGGGGTTAAAAGTTCATGGGTCAGGGCTGTGATGTCCACACCTGTTTGTCTATATATATACGTATATATATATATATATATATACATATATATATATATATATATATATATATATATATATATATATATATACGTATATATATATATATATATATATATAAATAGTTTTTGAGCACAGAGCCTAAATTCTGAGCATTTATAAAGTATAACAGCCTTCTTGACAAAAATGCTTTCAAACAGTGGCAAAAATTTAACACGTTGAGATAAAGGACATATTCGATCTGATATTTTATTTGACAAACTTTGGATTTACCTCTTGCACCTCACTTTGCTGGCCTTTGCTTCCAGGGATCATGTTTTGGCTTTGTGAATTTGGGCAGCTTCCTTAACCTCTTCAAGCTTTGGTTTTCTCACCTGTAAAACATGATAATAAAACCGCTTGAGAACTTTAAGAGTTAAATGAGGTAATTCATGTACAACTGCATGCTTACAAAAAGAAAAGTAGTGTCTCTGCCCTCCGCCTCCCACCCCCTCTCTAAAACTTGCGAATTTAGAATTCAACCTCTCTACCTTCCTGGTTTTTTGAAAACAGAGCCAGGTCCTTTTCACTGGAAAGGTCCTAGGCAAGAGGTAGCTAGGGGCTACCTATTCTATCAAACGGGGGGAAGTTCACAGGTTAGAAACCGTATTTTTTCATAGTAATTACATTGGGTTTGGCATTCCTGATTTCCTCTCTTGAATGGTACTTAGCCTATTAGAGCAGTTTCTACGCCCCAACCAAACTACATACTAATACAAATAACTGGTATATATACGCGTGTCAGACACTGTTTTGAACACTTCACGCGGTACAAGTAATCTCATTCCTCGCAGCCACTGAGTTAGGTCACCCTAATACTACCCAGTTTGTTAAATAACTTGTGCAAGGTCCTGCGGGTAGGAAGTTTTGGAGCCTGGACTCAAGCTTAGCTACATTGCCCCTCCACAGCCCACGATCTTGACACTGTGGTCCTTCTGGAGCTGCATCGTGTTGAAGGGGCAAATAGATGAACAAACAGAAAACGTGGTCGGGTGGGCCGACCGAGGCGGAGTGGGCGCAGGACATCACGCTCATTTCTCGCGAGTCCGCCAGGGCGCTCACCTGTTACCGGGGTCAGTTCCCATCACTCTTCACCACTTCCGGTCGCGGCCCCGCCCCCTCGCGTCCCTCCGTGCGTTTCGCGTTCAAGAATTTTGTCCCCAGCGCCGAGCCGTCTCCCCGCCCTCGCCGCTGCCATGGCGGCAGCTCCGCCGCTCTCCAAGGCCGAGTATCTGAAGCGTTACTTGTCTGGGGCAGGTGCCGGCGTCGATGGGGGCCCTGATTCCGGTCGCAAGCGTCGCAGAAAGCGGCCGAAGCCTGGCGGGGCTGGCGGCAAGGGGTGAGTTGGTTCTGGCGGGGCCGGGCCTGTGGCGGCTGGCCGCCCTGTTTCCCCACAGCTCGAACCTCGGCCGGCGCTTCCTCTCTGCGCGCCGCCCGCCAGGCTCCTCAGGGGCACCTCGGGAGCCCGGCTCCGGCGCCGCGCGCCCCTGGGCGGTATCTTCTCTTTCTCAAGAAGGCTCCAACTTTCGTTACTCTTTCCCCGCCTTTGGAGCGTTCCGTCCTCTCCCGTTGAAAATGAATGTCGTGCCCTGACAATGATGGTGGAGCTCACCCAGAGCCTCCCTGTGTGGATATTTAGGGCCCAGGACCTGACTGTGGGGTTCAGCAATCCCAGGGACTGTGGTCCTGAGGCAGAGAGCTATGCTTACTTCCTGTTACTCTTCCTAGGGATGCTGTTAACAACCTCCACCAGCATTTGTAGTTCTTGTTATGTACCAGATGCCGTTCTAAGTATTTTAGACGTTTTAAGCTTCGGAATACTACCACGAAGTTGGTGTTGTTATTATCCCCATTTTTCAAATGAGAACTTTGTAGCTCAGCGTACTGGGTTGAAGGGTGCCCCCGCCCCCACTCATGTCCACCCAGAACCTCAGAACGTGACTTTCTTTGGAAATCGTGCCTTTGCAGATATAATTAGTTAAGATGCGGTCACGGTGGGTTAGGATGGGCGCTTAATCCAGTGTGACTGGTGTCCTTTTAAGAAGAGGGAAATTTGAACACAGGCATGGGGGAGAACCACTAGGTGAAGGTGGAGCCCGAGACTGGACTGGATTTCCCCTGCCACTAGCCAGACTATGCCTGGGCCTGCCAGAAGTTGGACGAGTCAAGGAAATACCCTCCCCTAGAGCCTTGCCAGCGGGCATTGCCTTGCACACACCTTGATTTCAGACTTCAAGCCCCTAGAACTGTGAGAGAATACATTTCTGTTGCTTTAAGCCCCCCAGGTTGTGATACTTTGTGAGGCGGCTCTAGGGAACTAATACCCCCAGTTCCAAAGAACGAAGCCATTCCCTTTCCTGGTTTGGTTCTGGCCTATTCTTGCGTTCTGTCTTCCTGCCCTTCTGACTTGTGTAAATTCTTTGGAGACAGTGCCATGTAGTGAAAAGAGCTTGAGCTTTGGAGTAATGCTGGTCAGAGTTTGAGTCCTAGCTGTGCCACTCTGTGGGCTGTGTGGCTGGGGCAGGATATTTCATCTCTTTAAGACTGTTGACACATCTTTAAAATGAGAGTAATAGTCATATCACTTGATGACTATGATTCGAGGTGTATAAAGTGATCATGGCTTTTCAAATTGAATGTTCACGTCATGGCAGTCATTGTTAATTATTTGGACTCGTCTGTAGTTTGTCTAACAAACATTTATTGAATACGTACTTCTATGCCAGTTATTTCAGGGTGTTGAGGATATCACTGTGAATGAGAAGGCACAGTCCCTATTCGGGTGCTTCTCTCCTTACCTCCCTCAACCCGTTACGCATCCATGGGATACTTTCAATGAAAGTATCAATGAAATTTCATTTCATTTCATTATTCACACACACAAAATAAATCATATAGTTGTGGGCAGACAGGCTTTAAAGATCTAATTATACAACTATATGAGAAGCTCAAGGAAATTAAATGTAAGTTAGGACTCTTTAAGAATCTTAAGAGTTTCCCATTAAAGAAAGGAGAGTAGGTCAGGCAGAGGGAAGGAACTGAATATGTGAAAACTGATGTGGTAAGAAATTTGGCTCATTCCAGACACCAAAAGATGACCAGCAAGGTAGTAAACTATGGAGACAGTGGTACAAAGTGAAGTTGGCCATATAGGCAAAGACTGGACCTTGTAGAATCTTGTAGGATTTTGAACTTTATCCTAAAATCCATAGATAAGTGTTTGTAGGCTGTTTCCAAGAATGATTCTTCCTTTTTGATCTTTTTATTTTTCACATTTAGAATGAGGATTGTGGATGATGATGTGAGCTGGACATCTATTTCCACCACTAAAGCGGAAAAGGAGGAGGATGATGATGATGGAGATTTGCCTGTGGTATGTATCTTTTGAGGCTGTGAGGACTTCTCAACCTTGATTCCAGTACAGGGTAGATTTATATATATATGTATATATGCTGAGGGCAGAAAAGAGATTGACACTTTTCAAAGAGCTGTTTTAAAGTAGTCTTCTTTGATGATGCCTGTAGACTGTTTTCTTTGTTTATGCAGGGCCTCATTAGCCTAGAAATGGGAACTAATCACAGAGAGGCAGGACTTCTAATTGTAATGTTTAATAGTTAGCCATGGTTTGGTTTATTGAAATGTACCTTAAAAACAATGTTCAGGTTCAATTAAAGGAAATTTTTTATTTGTTCCTTTTGTTCATTGATTCAGCTGGTTTAAAATTGTATACTTTTGTTTAAGTACTGAAGATAGGTAGGTTAATAAAACCGAGTGTCTGGACTTTAGAGACCATACCCTAGATGGGAGACTGAATTTCAGATTTCAACAATGTGATAAATAGTGGAGAGACATTTCACATATGCACCGAGTACTGTTAGAGCACTGGGGGAGTAGCACATTTTTTAATTCCACTAGGAAATTTTTTTAAAGATTTTATTTATTTGAGAGAGAAAACACATACACACACAGACACAGACACACACACACACACACACACACACACAATTTGGAAGGAGTGCAAAGGGAGAGGGAGAACAGACTCCCAGGTGAGCCGGGAGCCCTATGACCTGGGGCTCCATCCCAGGACCATGGCATCATGACTGGAGCCCACTGAGCCACCCAGGTGCCCCTCACTGGGAAATTCTAGGAAGGATGTAAATACCTTGAGTTTTGAAGGACCAGTAAGAACTAAGTGGGCAAAAGCATAGGCAAATAATCTTGGATTGGTTCCATCGTGGAAACCTTGCTGAGAAACACGGTGAAAAGGAGAGCCGTTGATAGGCTGTATTGCACTAAAAGGTTGTAAAAATGAATTCCAGATGAGTATATTCAGTGTTAATTCCCAGCATATTCTGTAATACATCTTTTAAGAGAAGGTTCATATCAAATAGTGGGGCACCTGGCTGGCTAAGTCGGTAGAACGTGCTGCTCTTGACCTTGGAGTTGTGAATTTGAGTCCCACGTTGGGTTTACAGATTACTTTAAAAAAAGGGCAGGTGGGAGAGGGGGTGGTGCCTGGGTGGCTGAATCAGTTAAGTGTCTCCTTTTGGTTCAGGTCATGACTCCAAGGTCCTGGGATCTGAGCCCCACCTAGGACTCCCTGTCACGTAGGGCTTCCTGCTGAGCAGGGGAGTCCACATCTCTCTCTTCCTCTCCCTCTGCCCCTGCTCATGTGCTGTCTGTTTTGCTCACTGTCTCTCAAATAAATAAATAAATAAAATGCTTTAAAAAAAAAAAAAGGAAGAAGGGAAATAATGATCCTAAGGGGCCAATTAATTTGAGTCAGATCCAGTCACTTAATTAATGTTTACAACACTTGTTTTTTTAATGTTATAAAAGCAATACATATTTTTTTTTAGAATATTTGGGAATTTTAAGGTTTAAAATTTTGAAAAAAATACAATAATCACTTACCTGTGACTGTCCAGAGGTAGTAAGTGCTAACATTTAGATGCGTATGTCTTTAATTCATAGATTATACAGGCTTGTATTTTATTTATTTTTAAAATACGATCGGGATCATACTGAACGTATGGTTTTGGAACTTACTCTTTCACGTAGTAGTATGTAGTGATTTCGTTAGTAAGATTTTAAAATATTCTTTGAGGATGTGACTTAATGGTTGCAATGGTAGTTCATTATATGTATTAACTTAACCTGTCCTTTTACTGTATGTATGGATGGTTTTCGGTTTTAAAATATAGTGCTTTGAAAAACATCTTATACAGAAAACATTGTGGAAATCTGTTTATCTCTTTATTCCTATCAAAAGGAATTAATAGGTTAGAAACTCTGGTCCTTTTGAGCTGTATTCCCATATTACTTTCCAAAAGGTAGTACCAATTTATAGTCTCCCTAGAGTTGTTTGAGAATGCCATTTTCCCCATTTCTTCATGAATACTAGAGAATTATTTACAACAACAAAAACAATAGGTTTGAACCTGTGTCGGTTTGGCAGGTGAACAGTGGTACCCAGTTTCTTTGAGAAACAGTGAATAATTTTTCCATATGTTCATCGAGCATTTGTATTTAATGAATTTTGGGGGATTTTTTCCACTGTTTAGAAAATTGGACTTCTTAATTTCTTCATTGATTTATTTGATATTTACATAAATAAGAACATATTACTTGTTTTACTGTCATAAATATATTTTATTATTTGTCTTTTCACTTATAAGGTTTTGACATTTAAAAATTGTAATTTTTATATAATCAAGTATATTAATTTTCCTTTATAATATTGTCTTTTGCTCTTATGATTGCCTCAAAACCCAAACAAGGGAGGCTTTAGCCCCACTGCTCTCTACACTGGTTAAAACAGATCTTGATTATTGAATTCATTTTTGTCACTGCAAGACCATCATCACCACCAGTACTAACGGCAAAACAATTAGGACAGGCACAATACCGGTGGCAGCACAGGAGTAACGGGTATAGTTTCCTGAGCATTTACCATGTACCAAGCTATTTAGCTTCCATGAATTATCTCATTGAATCCTCATAGAACCTTGAGTCCTACTTTCACAAATGAGGAAATTGAGCTTTAGAGGAAATAATTTGCCAAAGGCTATACAAATATTAAGTGGCGGAGCTGGTGATTTAGATCTCAGTTTATCTTGCTTGAATTCAAGCTTGTGCTTTCCTACCTCAAAACTCGCTTACCTGAGGAATGATGGGAACAGAAAAATAGAGGTGAATTATGACTTGGGTTTGGATTTCAGTTCTGCCACTTGCTAGCTGTGACATTGAGAAATTACGTAACATCTCTGAGTCAAAGTTCTTTGTCAGTGTGGAACCTTTCTTTGAGGGCTGTTTTGAGGATTGAGTGTGATAATAAAAGGGAGGGTCTAGGTGAGTGATCATTTATCAAGGATACAAGAAGATTCCATATTTGTTTGGGAATTTGAATGATATGAAGTGTGTTTTTATCCCTTACAGATTCTGTGACTCTGTGTACTTCTTAGTGACTTCTTTTGGTTGGATCTAAGAAAACCTGTGATTGTGATTACCTATAACAGGCTTCATAAGGAGCCCGAAGCCCTTGATGAGTGATAGGCATGACAGGGAACTTGCCTGTATTTTTACTCTGAATGTAAAAGCAAAAAGGTAAAAGGAATTTAGCTTTTAGCTTATCCATAGCAGTTGTGTACCTGGCAGGTTGATAAAGAAGGTTTGTAATGAAGAAATTCACCTTTGGAGGAAAATTGATCAGTCAGAGAAAGATCTATAATTAAACTATCCAGGGACAATCAGATAAACATCTCAAGGGGCAAACAGAATTGAGGACCACTACATGTGTCTGCATGTTTTTTCATGGCTATTTGGACTTGGCATCTGCCACGTACATTAGGAATGGGAATGGTCGTAGCTTCGGGTTCTTGAAACAGCAGTGCTCTTCGCCTGGGTCCTGTGGATTTTCTCAACGTAAGTGTCCTAACTCTGAAGGTGGCTGAGTTTGTGGACGAGCGGCCGGACGAGGTAAAGCAGATGGAAGCCTTTCGTTCCAGTGCCAAATGGAAGCTTCTGGGAGGTGAGTTTCAACAATGGATAAATTCCAACTTCCCATATATAGGGGAATCTTTTTTTCTTCTCTGTACTTTTCTTTTAGAATAACGCATAGTTTGTTTTAGTGTGTCCTTGATCCTGAAAAATATAGTGTGAAAAGAGTTCAGAACTTCTTCACAGGTAGCAAGACATGGGAACTGAGGGGCCAAGTATCCTGTTTTCTCTTTTATTTTGGCCACTAGGGTTACTGAAGTCAGAAGTGACTTGTCTGGGGACCTTGCAGTAACCACTCCCCTCAGGCCCAAATAGCGGGGCACTTAGTACACAGGCAGGACTTTGGAGGAGTAAATCTTTCTTTGTTCTTCCTTTAGATATTAGTATTTTGCTGTGCTTTATCCTCCACTTGCCCACTCTGTACCCTCTCCCTAGGCTAATAATTTAACTCCCTATTTAAAAATTTTTTGAGTTTTTGAGGATTGGATAAAAGGCATTTGTCATGTTTGGCAGAGACTAGCCCTATTCTGGTTTGTCTCGGTTTTTCCCCTGCCTGGCGTGAAACGGGAATCTTGCTTCTGAATAGCCATTTAACTTCAGTTTACTCTCCACACGTGTTCCTTTTTCATACATGAAGGGTAGAAGAATTAACTCCTAAACAGGACTTGTTCTTTCTCTGTTACACATTTTGCTTATGTTAATTATCCTACAGTTCTGATAAGGAAAAAAAATGCATAACCAAAGAGACAGTTGGCTATAGGTTAGTGATCACTATTGCTTAAGTTAACTTTCAGTACATTATAGTGTTTTATGAATAAGAAGTTTATTAACAGTGTATATTCTTTCATCAGAATCTTGTTTACTCTTACTGTTTTCTGCCTTATCCTGTGGTTGTGTTTCTGGTCTTTTCTATAGTCCTTTTTTCAGAGAGAATCTTCTGGTCTCTGTATTTATAGGTCTAGGAAGTGATACTGAACCCCCCCCCCCAATAATTCTTTCTCTTCACTCTCACTGCTCCATCCCCGTTTGTCATTGGAAATAGCCTCACTGGTCTCTGATCCTTATTTCTTTTTATAAATATCACGTAATTTATTGATGCCATGGATTAGATTTGGTGTCAGGTCTCCCTCAGATATCAGTACTCTTCTGTGAGTGGTGATTCCAGTCAGATAGGGCTGTTTCCCAAAGTAAAGGAGTTGACTTGGTTTAATTGATCCACGTAGCAATTGTTCATTGGGCCCTGCCCAGCGTTATTTGTTTTGGGGCCATGGAGCTCAATGACAAGAAGTAGAGGGAGAGGAGAAACTGGATTTTGGCAGTGTCCTGAGTTGCTGTAAACATTTCATTCCCTTATAACTTTGAAAACTGGAAGTTTCAAACTCTTTTGTGAACTACCTATTTTAAAAGTTTGTGGGGCGCCTGGGTGGCTCAGTGGGTTAAGCCTCTGCCTTTGGCTCAGGTCATGATCTCAGGATCCTGGGATTGAGTTCCGCATCGGGCTCTCTGCTCGGCAGGGAGCCTGCTTCCCTCTCTCTCTCTCTCTGCCTGCCTCTCTGCCTGCTTGCGATGTCTCTCTCTCTGTCAAATAAATAAATAAAATCTTAAAAAAAAAAAAAGGAAAAGAGTTTGCACATGAACTCTGGAGTCTGATGGATCTGGACTGGATCCCTCACCATTCCACCACATCGTAACAGTATGACTTTGGCAGTATGACTTAATCTTTCTCAGGATTCACTTCTTCATCTATAAAATGAAGGATAATAGTATTTGTCTTTCAGGCTTGTTGTGAGAATTAAGTGAGGGAATCTATATAAACCGTTGGCTTGTAGTAGGTGATGAGGAAATGCTGATCCCTCTTTTTATCTGGTGATCTCCCCCCAGTAAGGAGCACAGGGATGTGGATTAAATAGTTAACAGTATTTCATTTTGATGGGGCACAGGCTTAGTCAGTTTGCCCTTTGAAAAGAAGAATGAATATGAACTGTATGTTATCTAGTCTGAATATCAGTTGGAGCCTCTGGGAGCTCTGCACAGACATGGTTTCAAGAATAGCATTGGATCGGGGTGCTTGGGTGGCTCAGTGGGTTAAGCCTCTGCCTTCTGCTCAGGTCATGATCCCGGGGTCCTGGGATCGAGTTCCGCATCGGGCTCTCTGCTCATCAGGGAGCCTGCTTCCCTTCCTCTCTCTCTGCCTGCCTTTCTGCCTACTTGTGATCTCTCTCTGTCAAATAAATAAATAAAAATCTTAGAAAAAAAATGAAAGAATAGCATTGGATTGACAGCTAGAGGATCAGGGTGTTAGCCTATCTCCTTATCTTGGTGGTTGTGACTTTCCTTAAGAAATCACTCATCTTCTTGGAGCCTCTGTTTTCATGTCTGTGAAACAGGGATACCTGCCCCGATGGCATAATATAATACCATATTGTACCAGCCTAAGGTATAATATGAAAAATACATTTAAGTGGCTTATTAGGCAAATACAAGAGGTTATCTTTATGGTGTTCATGAGTGCTGGTTGACTGCCCCTAAGCAAAAGAGCTGGGCAGACCTGGGATTTCTGAGTTGTTTTGACATGTGTGCTGCCAGGGCATCTTTTGAAACTGAGTACGAGGGGTGAATAGAGCACCTGTGGGATGTAACTCTTTGCCCTTTGTGTTTAGGCCACAGCGAAGATCTACCCTCACACAGACACTTCCGTCACGACACCCCGGATTCATCTCCCCCCAGGAGGGTCCGTCAC